CAAAGTGACTGTAGAATTGATTTTATAGCTGATGCAAAGAAAACCTTTTTCAAAGGTACGTGCTGCGCGGTTCATAAAAAAAACATGACAAGGAGAACACGGATTTTTCAAAAAAGAAATTCTCTGTACTAATAAAAACATGAGCAGAAAATTGAAGCGTTGCGATATGAATTGATTAGAAGGGAATATTTTCCCAAAAAAAACATTTCTCATGATTTTTTGAACAAAAATTAGCTAAACCTAGACTATTTCCAGCCAGAAACAACACCTTAAGAAACTGAACCCGCCGATGGCACGTTATCTATAAATAAAAATTAACCACGCGGCCAACTTAATATTGAAAATAATTTTTTTTAGTGCAAAAATGCCGCCGTCAGAGTATAGCCTTTCACAGATAGCCTTTCCTTCCTCTGCAAATCGCAGAACCACACATCGTCACGCATTACGCACACAATCGGATAGCATGCCAACCTTCACTAATCGGTAAAATTCAAAATCTAAAATCTCAAAATATATTTCTCAATTGGTTTGTGACTAGTTCATTAGAAAATTGTTTTTTAGTGCAAAAGTGCCGCCGTCAGAGTATAGACTTTCACAGATAGCATTTCTTTTTTCTGCGAATCGCAGAACCACACATCGTCACTCATTACCCACACAATCGGATAGTATGCCAAGCTTCACTTATCGGTAAGTTTCAAAATCTCAATTATCAAAATATGTTACTAAAATGTTTTGAGACTAGTTTATAAGAAAACTGTTTTTAGTAGACACAATCGCCCAAAGTTTGAATTCAACTCAGCGGCCACAAGTCCGATTATAATGTAGTTTGATGCCAACTCTCACTTATCAAACAGTTTGGCAACCCTCACTTAGCAGCAGGTCCGATTATTCAACTCACAAAACCAACACAATTCCGTTCTCACAGTCGTTCTGTTTTTCAGGACATTGTTTGTAGAGTTTTCCACTGCAACTCATTTTTGACCTTTATGACTTTAGAATTTACTTTTACAAAATTACTTTAGGTTTTTAAAAGAAAACTGTTTTTCAGTGCAAATCGCCGTCTCATATGGTGCTGATTGAAATTGCAAATGGTGCTGACTCAAATTGCAAATCATCTCTATTGCCTCATCTGAGGAAGTTTACTACTTGTTTTATTAGTGCTACATAGTAGTTTAAATTAGATAAATTTTTAATGATAATTATGGAATTAAAATTCCCAAGTATTTCTTTTTGATTCGAGAAATTTGGCTCTACTGAAGCTAATTGTTACTGTTTTTCGGATATACTCATGTAATCTTAATTATGTGCCCAAATGATGAAAAATTTTGGCTGTAAAAATTAACCAAGGATAAATGCTTACACTCAAAACGGGCTCATGACAATCGAAATGTGGTGGTCTTTCCTTTTCTTAAAAACTATCGAAATAAATCTTCAATCCTTATTTCATTAACTCACTGTTCATACCTCCTTCTCCCTTCTATAATTAAGTCAGAATTTGTCGGTCCAATATCAGAATTTCCTGGGGTTTCAATCGATCGCTTCAATGGTGAGAACCTCAATTCTACGATTTATTTTCTTTTGCACTGTCATACAGATCACATGATGGGCCTTAATGAGCCTGAGCTCTTCTAAAGGTTAAAACATTATAACTTGAAATTTTGTTGTCAAAAAAATTCGGCGGTTTTGTTGAGTGCATTGCTGCTTTATGTTCATTTAACTCTACATATAGTACCTCTGGATTCAGATAATGAGAAAACCTTGAATGTTTCATTGGAAGGGGACGAGACTCCTACCCTAACTGTCACTCTTATTCCTGCAGGTCACTGTCCAGGTTCAGTAATGTTCCTACTAGTTTCCAACGAAAAATCTGTCCTTTTTACTGACAATTTCCGATGGCAAGTTGGTCATACGACGCAAATCAATCATCTTTTCGACAATTTACAAGAAGGTGCTGTTCATAATTTTGATATTGTTTACATCGACACAACGTTTTGCAAAACAAATTCCAATTTCATACCTTGTAGGGAGAGCTGTATTTCAGCCATATTTCAAGCCGTCTCCGCATGGCTCTGTTCATTTCAAAATAATGTGGTTCATTTTTGTAATAAAACTCGCTACGGTTATGAGTTTTTAATGAAAGAGCTTGCACTTAGATTCAACACTAAGGTTCACGTTTCATTATGCCAGTATCAACTGTACAAATTTGTTTCCTCAATTCAAAATTAGCTCACCTTAGATGGCGAAAGTACCAATATCTATTTCTGCAAGCCGTCGTCTGCGTCTGCGAACTTAAAACTGCCTTGCAAGCCGGGCATCCCAAGTCCAGAATTGCTTACAATCATTCCAACTGCAATGTTTTTCACTAAAAACGAGATAATGCCTGGGAGATTGGTTAAAGCAGTGTCTGAGAGAACCATTCGGTGCTGTTATTCTTCGCACTCTTCAGCTGACGAAATAATTGACTTCCTTTCCGTTCTGCAAGTCGGAAGTATTACACCCTCCGTTTGTCCAGACTCTGTGAAGGCTTTTTTTTAAATACGCTCAAACATCAGAATCCAAAGACTTCAAAAGATTCGAGTACAAAGTTGTGGAAAGAGAAAGTTAAATTCAATAACAGAGGTAAACGCAAACTTTATCTGGAGAAAACTTCAACAAACACACCAGACTACGAATACCATAGTGAGCCATTAAGACAGCAAAGGCGCTTTGTCGAAGGAGGAGTTTTCGAGGGAAAGGATTCAGAAACAGCCAAAACAGCCGAGGGGACAAATATTTCAACAAAAACACCAGACTATGAATACCATAGTGCCCATAGTGAGCCATTAAGACAACACAGACGCTTTGTCAAAAGTGGAGATTTCGAGGAAAAGAATTCAGAAAAAAAAACAGAAAATTTGATCCAATTGCTCAACAAAATTTAAAAACATAATTTTACTTTTCGTACTGTATTTTTTAGTTACCGCTTGTATACGTTTTTCTTTTCAGTTTTAATTAAACGAGGATTCTTAATCCAGTTTTTAGAGGAGATTTCAGATCAGCTTTCAAAATATACAATCGAGCCGTCCTTTATCTTGTCTCAAATGCTGATGAGTGCAATGATAGTTTCTGAACCAACTAAACCATCTCATCTCAAATACTGATAATCGCGATGATAATTTCTGAACCATCTCATCTCAAAAACTGATGAGTTACTTAGCTGCCATTTCAAACTGAACCATCTCATCTCAAATACTGATGATGATTTCTGATGCATAACTGAACCATCTCATCTCAAATACTGATGAGTGACTTAACTGTCCCCATTTCAAACACGAATTGCCATTTCAAACCCTGAACAGCCATTTCAAACACATTTCAAACCACAATGAAAAATTTGACATCCGCATAGTTAACCAATGTTTTAAGATTTGTTTGTGGATTCCGCTGAAAAACGGATAAGTCCTTTTGCGTTCATTTTGCGCGTTCCTATAGATAATAAATCAAATATTCCACCTCTAGTTTTTAATTGTTCATATGCAAGTTCAGTAATAAACAAAAACGCGGAATCCAATTACAATTTGCGGAATCCGCTTTTATTTGCGGATTCCGCATAAAAATTTTGCGGATTCCACTTACATTTGCGGATTCCAATTACATTTTGCGGAATCCACTTACAGTTGCGGAATCCAGAACAACTAGCTATAATTGCTTGTTGCGGAATCCGCAACAAAACAAATGTGCCGACAAAATTTACGTTACAGGTATATGTATGCGGAGTCCACTTAAATTTTGTTTGTGGAATCCACTTATATTTTGGAACATATTTTAAGACTTGTCTCTGGAATCCAGGAACATACAGACACAAATTTGTGCTCCTATCCAGTGCACAGTTTGGCCTCGTAATGTTATTGCAAAATTAAGCACCTCAAAGAGGCAAGGAGTTTGTTGTCAGGTTAAAACCCTCCCAGTCGGGCAGAAACTAATCCAGGAATTTCTCGAGGGGGGGGGGGGGCGGTTTTACAAAAAAAAATTTCAAAAATTTTGACAACCTTTTTTTAGGTCGACCAAATTGATTTTCCGTGCTCTCCTAAAGCACTAAAAAGACGCTGTTTAGGCCAAATTTTCTGGGAAACTTTGACAAAAAATAGCGTTCTTTTTGGCGCGCGCTCCCCCTCAAAGTTAGTATATATTGGCGCCCGAGCCGCCTTTAGAAAAATTTTAGAGTCGGTCGGCCAATAATGGATTTCTGAAAAAGTACCAAAGGGGGGACCCTTTGGGTCGGCAGGGGGTCAAATCCCTAAAAAAAAAGCGTCCGCAAAACACCCAAATCCCCCCCCCCCCCCACAAATCCGCCCCTGCAGTCGGGATTCGGATTCCTAATTGATAATTCTCAATATTTTTGCTAAACACTCCAATCTAACTCTAAAATAACTCTAATTTTTTTCTGATGTCTAGAAGAAGGACTGGACGTCTGCGTGGATTAAACTATCGTTTATTTAAGCCATAACTGTGTTTATTACATAACTTAGTGTCCTTTGGTAATTTTTTTGAAAATTAATTTGGTCGAATCACTTTGCCCTATTTGCTAATAATATGCGTATGGTTTTTTATACTGCGGGAGATTTTTTGAATAATTTTTTGACTTTTTTCGGATCAAACATTTGAGCAATTTTTGGAAAATTTTGCCCAAAAGGTAGCAAAAATTTTCAGGGCTGGCCAAATGGCTCCCGTGCAATGGTGCCCAAGGCGAGATTATGGAAAGATTTGGTAGCCAAAGTTGAAGAAAAAGCCCCCCCCCCCCCCCACCTCAACTACCCATCCCTCAGCACGCTACTGGCTTTTGGTTTACTTTGTAAGCAAAACGGGATCTCTTTTGTTTTCAGACAAAACCTTTTCGAGGGTTCTAGTATGTAGTTAGATAGCTACAAACAAAATGGTGGTGTGTAATTTCTGCCATATGGTCATAATGACGAAAGTTATATACTACATGGCATAGTACTTTCACACATCGTGTTATTTGCTTAAGTTGACCGGCTCAGTTAAATTGCTATCTGACTCACTAATTGTACAAAACGTAAAATTCTACACAGTAAAGTTAAATCTTTCGAAGTTAAATGGCACATGGTACTAATACCATCAACATACACGACACAATTTAACATTTTTGAGATTTTCACGTCTTCACCAACGGACGAATTTTGGGCAAAAAGTAGTTACTACACCGAAAATACCTAGCATACAATTTTCATGGATATAAAATTTATAAAAAAAACTTGTCTTAATTTCCATTCAAGCTTCATTTATGAAAAATTGCTTGTCCTAGAGATTTCATACAATTTTTTGGACGTCTAAAACCGTATGACTAGAAGTTTTTACAAATGGAACTTGTATGATTATAAAGTTTCATCAGCCGGTGATTATTAAACTGGTTCTGCTTTTGGGCATATCAGTTTGTGGATGAGGTCAAATATCTGGGTCTCACAATTCGCCCTCAAAGAAATAGACCAGGTATGTTTATCTTTGCTCATGTGAATCATTTATTCAGCTTTTTGATAACCTTGGAATTATAAAGCAACGCCATGTTTTTGCCCATTTCTCTTGGCAAAAGAAACCGTGCTTTGCTAATTTTTCAGTTTTTTATCCGAACGCTTTTTTAAAGTTTTTGGTTAAAAATTTCAAAAATTTCGAATTATCATTTTTCTCCTACGTCAGACTTTTTGTTAGTCATTAATAGTCTAGAAAAATCTCTAATTGGTGTTCTCTGCGTATCACTCCCGAATGTGATTTTAGGCTGATTTTGATCCGTTTTTTTTAGCTTCTTCCAAATACTTTTGACAGTTATGACACTTATGATTGAGTTTTTTGGACACTTCAAGGCCGACAAGTCAATGGCATGGTCAGAATATTAATATTATAATTCAAAATTTTAGCTTTGTGCTGGATAAGATTGGTTTCGACCTAATAATAAACTTTTGTAAAGTCATTGCTAATTAGGAATAAAAGCTTGTACAACTCAGGCACGGCGGATCTAGGAATTTTTCGAGAGGGAGGGGGCGGATTTTCAGAAAAATTTTGAAATTTTTCTCGACCTTTTTTTTAGGTCGACCAATTGATTTTCTGAGCTCTCGCAAATCTCTATAAACACCCTATATTGACCAAAGTTTCTGCTCCGCAGGCAACTTTTTCAAAAAACAGGCCAAAAATTGCGTTTTTAAGCACTTTTTGGCACATTTCGACTAAAAAACGCATTTTTCGGCGCCTCTTCTCCCCTCAAATTTAGTATATAATGGCGCCAAAGGCGCCTCTAGAAAAGTTTTAAGGCCAGTCATCCAAAAATGGATATCTCAAAATAGTACAAAGGGGACCCTTTGGTCGATAGGGGGATGAATCCCTGAGGAGAGAAAGCGTCCGCCAACCCCTCTCCCCTCCCCTCCCGCCCCCCCCCCAAAAAAATCCGCCACTGGTACAACTCCTTCATGACTTTGGAAAACTTGCATTTTTTTCAGGCGGAATTTCTTAAAAAAGCAACATGGAAAGTTTTTATTATGAATTACATTAATGAACCATAGCTAATACTTTAAATAAATTTTAATATGTTGAATAATATCAAAACCTAAATTGCAATACTGTTTTTTGTGACTCAGTTCAGGGTATGGAAAACTGTGACAAATTCTTCGAACTCCAAACTCATTTCTAAGGCTCTTTCTACATCATTTGGATCAATTAAGCAATGCCCCCCCCATTCTCGTTCAATAGGTACTTGAGACATGTTTATAACCACTGGAAAATAGTTTGAATGATATGAAATTATAAAATAGATTTTCCAACGAACGTGGAAAGCCAAAATATTCAATATCAAAGCTAAAAAGTTTCATTTAGAGTAAAAAAAAATCGATAAAACTGAGGCATATAAAGCTACTTTTTTCTGTCCTAAGAGGGAAAAAGCTATTGCGTACAATATTAAACGGCTGCGGAGAACCATTTTTGCTTTTCAGATACAAGGCTAGAGCACCAACCCTAGCAACTCACTTTCCTCGATGAGACTTCTATTTTAAGTTTCGATTTTTTCTTTTTCAAAATTTTTCTCGATACTCATATAAAATAGATTCCATTCGGTCAATTGATTGCGTGCAACGAACACATCAATCATCTCTTTTTGTTTGCAGATGTTTTTAGCGTTTTACCGTCACTTTAGCTACTATTTTTTCTGGTTTTTGAATTTTTTGACCCAGTTCAACCGATCCGTTATTTAAAAAAAACAACATCTGAACAAAGTTAGAGTTTCCGTTCGAGTAAAAATTGCACTTCACATTTAATGACAACTTAGGTGTTGCTGCTGCAGCTGACTAAATCAATTTTTGTGGTTTTTTTCAAATGCATATCATATAAGGTTTAGAACGTAGTGGAGATACGTCGATTAGAAAATGGATTCTGCCATCTTCAAGCTTCTCGTTGTTTTCAATTCATATAATTTTCTCTTGCACTCGTGATTGCTCAGAGAAAAACAGTGTTTCATATCTTGCTCAGAAATCACAATTTGTTTATCGTAACATGGTGCATCATCCGCTGGTATAGATATTAAGTTATACGAGACCTACTCTGGTTGTGGTTTCTTTATGGCCAGGTTGAAAATCCTTGCTGCACCTTTTTTCTAGCCTATCCGACCCTCTACGTTTTCCAATACTTCTCAGCTTCCGTTGACAAAAGTAGATGAGTTCAAGGAACACGTCTCCACGATCTTATGCTACTGCTCTTAAGAAGTTTATAATTAGATGATTGCTTTAAAGAAAATTTTGGTTCTCATATAAGATTATGCACACTCTTCATCCAAATCAACTAAACATTTCCATTTATTCGGGTCGTAAAGGTGGCGGGCACTGCTCTTGGCTTGCTACTTACTTTTTGATCTTCTACGTATCACAAAACTCAGACTTACTGCCCTTCCTTAGATCGATGAAGTTTGACTCTTTTTTGGGTGAAAAAAAAAGAGATTGAAAATCCTGTTTGAGAAACATTACTTAATCATCCTCTGAGGTAATCGTATTGATTGAATCATTGTTTCGGCTCAATAATCCGCTTTTCAAATTTTTTTGAAAAGTTTCAAAATCAAGTGAGTATTTGGTTATGACGGCAAGACTTCTTGGTAGTCTATTCTGTCCTACTCTAGTGCTTCAATCGTTTTTTCCATTGCTAGCCGTAAGTCATGGCTTCAACCTAAAAATCCTTGTCTGAGTTTTGAATATTTTCATTAGGTTCGATGTTCTTGAAATAATCGACAGTGGAAGGGATTGACGTTTCTTGTCCAGTTTGGATTTTAAGTTTTACTTATCTTACATTTTGTAGATTTAAAAAAAAAAAATTGGGACCATTGACCATTTTTGATTTATCTCTGGTTTTTGGTTGCTGTTAAGGACACGCTAGTAAAAAAAATAATAGGTTGCAATCAGAACAGTTGTTTGCAACGCTAGATCTAGTGTGTTGTTACCACGATTTACCAGATTCGTTGCTTGCTCAAAATTGTTTTCTTTGATTAGTTCATTTGTTGAATTTTCATCAGTATCAGAGCTACTGAAATGAATCATTTTCGCATTTGGAAAGCTTATTTCGCCAAACACCGAAGTTTTTTGTTGTTGGAAGAATGTTAGGAGTTTCCATGAAACTGCTCTAACTAAACTAACACCTGATGTAGAATAAGTAAAGAAATTTTTTACTTAAGATTCTGAGGAGTCAAAACTTGCCGTTGCTATTGCATTCTTTCTATGTTTACTAGACTGCGAACATTGAAAGCATTGATTAAGCCTGCTGGTAGTTGTTCCGACTTTCGATACGAAAGTAACGGAATATTTGTGCTCGGGTGGGTTTTTTTTTCAGACAAATTTCGACTTTTTAACTAGCCGTTTTTGACGGAATATTTTTATATCATTAGAAAGATATTGTTGTCCTGAGCTTAAATTTGAAAAGATATTTCACCTATGACTATTTTTCGCAAAGTTATGGGGGTTTAAAGGTTGCCATTTTGGCCAATATGGGACAAATAACGCGCGATATATTTCGCGCTATTAACGCGTAAGCGTAGATTTAATCCGTCTTAGAAATCGTTCCAAATTGGTTGAAAGAAGCCTTTTCGCCATAATTGATTTGTTGCAAGGAGCAAAATCTATTGTTTTGTACTTTATTTGGCGTGTGGGGGGATGATTTTCATTAAAAAATTTCAAATTTTAGAAAAAAAAATTTCATTTTATTTTATTATGTTTAACTTTTTTTTGTTATTACTGCTTATGAAACCTCAAACGGTAGTCGGAACATTCAGGGCTTCGCCCTGATACGAGCAGTCTAGGTTGTTTTCGTAATCAACCTTAGTTGTGTCTTTTTTACTGTCGTTGAAAAGCTTTAGGTTAAATATTTTGAGCGTTTTGCTCTAAAATCCCTTCTTATGAAATTATCATCTTCTTTTCAGACACAAGTTTACTGTTATAGCGTCCTCTTTGGACATTGCTAGTAAAGAAAAATTTCTATACTTCTTTGTCATTTTTTCAAATCATAGTTTTTTGATCGCTCAACTCTTGCTTCTTGTTTTCTCAAGTGAACAAAAATAAATAGTTTTATTGGCTCTTTGCTAAATTTTCTGAGTAGTTTTTTTAGTTTTTTTAACAGGAAAATTGTTAGTACAATATTTCTGTACTTCGTAAACTTAGCCATATAATTTCTGGACCTAATTTTCAACTACATAAAAAAAATACTTTTCCATTAAAAACAATAGATGAAAAAAAGTGTAAGTACTTCGCTAAAACAAAATAAAATGAATTAACAATAGCATCTAACATTGAATTGAGTTCAAAACAATCTAAAGAATTGTCAGATAAAATTAACTTTAGTTCACTTAATCTTTCGTAGACTTCAATTGTTTTTATCTTCAAAACAAAATTTATGGAAAACTTCCTAAACCTGAAATTTAATGTTTTAAATGTTGGAGCGGTCGCGAGTAAGTTGTGTTCTTGCATGTTGTTCAAAATTGGTAATGCTAAAAAATAATCAACTCCAATTGTGTTTTTGACTAATAAGTGTAAATAAATACTGGTTTTTGTGGTGCGCAAGCTTTAATAAAATGCCGTATTTTTTCACTGAAGATTCGGATCATGTTTTTGGGTCCAGTTTTTCATGTTTATTCAGTTTTAATCCCATTTTATTCAAGTTTATTCAAAAAATTTTCTGTATGCGTTGTTTTATCATAGATTGCTCAATAATGTATTGAACAGTTATAAAGGGTTAAAGAAAAGGGCATCTTTGTAGTGTCAAAATCAGAGCTATCACTGATAATTTAAATAATTAAGCGTATTGAATCAGTTCGACTATTTTTTTCAAAACTTCAAAATCAGATGGCACTAAAAATTTTTATTTTGATTATGTTTATTTTTTTGTTCCAGTTGTTCAAACTTTTTTAACCGTAGAGATTTAGACTTTAAACTTTTGTACATAATCAATTGGTTCAGCAATTTTTTGTAAAAAAA